CATGTCGTGTGCCCGTCCCATTTACCGGTTCCTTTAAAACCCAGTTCCGTTAGAACTTATGAGACGGTGCATCCATCAGGGTTCGATGGGGATGTCGGTGAGTATTATAGTATTAGATCCTGGTTTGGGCGTCCTAAGTTAGAATCATATCTTTTATTTTAAAGGTGAAATAATATGTAAGACCTTTCCTTCTGTAGTAGCTCACTTCTTTTTAAGCAATCCCGTTATCTTAAGGTTTCTTTATATTAATCTGTCACAAACCGTAAAGTAAGTCCTGATAATTCCAGAACCCATAATTAATGTGCTTACCTCTGTGCAATTAATGATCAGAGCCCCCACTCGTGAAGCTTTAGAGAAAACCTGAAAGAATCAGGATTATGTTTCTTTTTCAAAAAAGGTTTATTATAAAATCAAAATACAAAAATGGGTAGATGAAAAAACAACCGCTATCCCCCACGGAGGAATTAGTTCAAAATGATTAAATAAGAGTTAGTTTACACTAGCTCTTGTCTTCTCAGAATCTCCCCAAGAACTCTCTCTAGTCTCTCTCTCTGTCATCCCCCATCCAGGTTTGGACGGGGGATGACCCCTCCCCATCTGCTCTCCTCTCTGTCCTCTGCCCCAACTGTTGTCGAATCTCTCAAAACCTATCTGCTGTTCAGAGCTGTTCTTATATACCCTTCCTGGACCAGCTTAAGGTCATGGGGTCATTTACCAGATACACACTTTGTAGCTCAACACAAAACATTTGGTGTCATTTTCCTTCTTAACACAGGTCATTACATCATCTTTTGCAGCATTCTTCAGTTTCTCTCCAATGTTCCGAAGAGGGCTTCTGGATCTGATGGGCTTGTCTTCATTCTGTTCTCCTCCAATCCCATCTTTCCAAGCCAGGGGTGGGGCAAAGAGGTGGGGTCAGTCTCCTGACCCTTCGCCCAGTTCTGTCCTCTTGTCCCTGTGACCCTTGTGTGACCCTTGTTTCTGACCACAGTTTTTTTGACCTGCAGCCCAGCTCCTGTCGGCTGGCTGATTTTGCTCGCACAAGCCAGTCCAGTGTGTTTCAGCTTGCCACTGTCTTTGGCATGTGGGGACTCGCAACAATGGTAAGGCTAGAACATCAGCAGCTATCCTAACAAAGCGACTCTCCATGCCATCTGGACCTGCAGTATTCCCACTAGAGAGCGACAGTATAAAGCCGGGCGGACACTGTGCGATTTTTTCACTCGCAGCGTTCAGCTTCAGCTCAAACTGTACGACTTCCTCGCAGAACAGATCTCACGAGTCATGTGCTCACACTGTACGTCTGGTAGCAACACGTCGGCCCTAAAAATATGCTAAAAATAGCAGTTTTTACACAATACGTCAGACTTTTTTGTCTTGTTTTGCCTGTTGTCCTTCGGGAGAGCTGCAGGAGGACACACAGGGATTTATGGGGGTTGGATGAGGAAAACTAAATAAAGAAAGTAAATCTGTGTTTTGTGATCAGTTTAATTTGACATGAACACGACAAACACACTTTCTTGACAATCTTTGTGAGTAAAAAAACATGTAGAAACAAAAACGAACAGTGTGTGTTATTAGGGAAATAGCGAGCGGAGTTGATGCAGGATTGCGCATGCGCCGTGAGCGGTTCTGATACTTTTTGGGTCGCAGCTGCTCGCAGCGCAGCTTCAACAGTGCGATACCCTCACGAGGGACAAGCGAAATTTTAAACACGCCAGAAGTCCGTGCAACCTCATGACTGCTGATCGTCAGCTGGTCACGTGGTGTTAATCGCCTCTCGTAACCCCCTGTACACTACACGACGCTCGGCGCTAAACTCGCCCCGATCTTGTGGATTCTCGCATGACTGGAAAATCGGCTCAAAAAAGTGAAAAAGTCGCACAGTGTACGCCCGGCTTAACTTTACGCGCTTCCTCTGAACGAATTTCAGAGAAAGAAAATCCACTGGAGCAACAGTGAGGCAAGGTGTAAGACCCATGATGTTCTGCAGAGGTAAGGAAAGGAGAGGAAGCAAAGTGCTTACTGAATGCTTCAGCTATTTCAGCCGGGTCATTAATAAGACTCCCATTAACATTCAGATTTTAACTTTAGTTTTCCCCCTCAGGTCTTTCATTTTATCCCAGAAGCGCTTAGGGTTATTGATATCCTTATGCAAACCATTTTTATAAAAATTAGCTTTAGCATTCCTAGTTTGGGTAGTACAGAAGTTTCTTAGTTTTCTATAAACTGTCCAATGCTCATGCAGATTGCTAAGTTTTGCTACTTTCCACGCTTTGTCACGCTTCTTAAACAAAGCAATTAATTCATGAGAAATCCAAGGCAGATGGCTGCCCTTAATTTTTACACTGACCCAAGGAGCATGTTTATCAAGAACCTGCATGAACTGAGAGTGGAAAGATGTCCAAGCATCATTAACATCAGGTATAAGAAACAATCTATTCCAATTAAGAGAATGCAGCTCCTAGGGATGCACCGATCAGGTTTTTTGCTGCCAATCACCGATATCAAAGAATGCTGATCACCGATACCGATAGCAAAGAATGCTGATCACCGATACCGATATCAAAGAATGCTGATCACCGATACCGATCACGTGGATTGGCCAGAAATTGTCTACAACATTATAATGAGTGCTACAAACTACATAATCTGGGAATAAAGGAAATGTAACCTAATCTAAAATGGTCTGTATTAGGGTCGTCACGGTGTGAAAATTTAACCTCACGGTTATTGTGACCAAAATTACCACGGTTTTCGGTATTATCGCGGTATTTTTTTTAAACGTGCTACATTTTCACACAATTAAATAAACCCTGTATGTCAGGAAATATTGTCCTCAGTTTGTGTCTAAATTTTGCCTAAAATGTGTTATTTTGTATTTATGTTGTTTATTTGTTTACATTTTTCCCCTTTAGTCTTTAAAATACCAATATTTGCCCGTAACTTCTTATTTTTTGTCTGTTTGATGTCATCATTTTAAAAATATTAGATCAGATGATACTCAGTACTCAAGTAGCCTTCTAATCAGATACTTTTTTACCCTTACTTGAGTAATAAACCCTATATCAGGAAAATATTGTCCTCGGTTTGTGTCCTTCCAGTGAGCTTTGCAGATGTGGGAAAATGTCATCAGGCAGTAATCATTGTTAAATTCATAATTATTCTCGGAGAGAGACCAACTCTTATCTGCCCCTGGGAGCCCCATAATGCATAGCGTCATTTCAACATGGCGGTGTCCGCGACACGGTTTATATGCAGGTAGCGGCGCTGCGGCTGCTTTATATAGCGACTCGTTGCATTCTCCCTCAACCCAAATCCTCGGATCACGCATTTTAGCTAAAACGCTGACGTTAGCTTGCCTTGCGTTGACTGTAGAGTTGTGGGTGATGGTCACGCAGGTGTGTCATGAGATTTGAAGCGTTGCTGCCTTTCACAGACACTTTTTCTGCTCGTGCTGCAAACAGGATAGCCGTCCGTCTTCTATCAACTGTCCCTCGGCATTCTTCAAATATCTAAAATATGCCCGTACTTCCCACTTTTGTCTTCTTTGAGGGATAATAAATGTCCTCCTGAGCGCTGCCGTCTCCTCCTTTGACCATTATTTCAGCTTTAGCTTCAAGAAAGTTTTGTTATAAACAACAAAGTGCGCATGTGCCGCCGGCAACTTCAGCAGATGATACGGTGGCTGGTAAGGGTCACCGCGCCTACACCGCAGCCACGGTAAACCACCGAGATAATATAGTTTTTTTTAAAACAAGACGGTTATTATTGTCAACTTTTCTTTTACCGGGGTTTACCGCTACACCGGTTACCGTGACAACCCTACCTGATCGGTTTGCTTTGATCTATTTTGAAAATTTCGATCAAAACCGATAGGGGCGCTATCAGCCGATTACGATCAAATGCCGATCCATCGGTGCATCCCTAGCAGCTCCTGTAAATACTGATCAGTGTTAAAAGTATGCAAGTCACAAATTCTGATATTCTTAGTTGGTGTATGTGGTAAAGATATTTTCCAGAAACAAAAAATAAAAGAGTGATCACTAAAGCAGTAAGGCAAAACGCCGTAATCAGAAAATCTGTCTGGGTGAGTTACTAATATCCAGTCAATGAGAGAAGAGTTTGTGGCACAAGTCCTAGTTGGCTCAGAGACCAGCTGTGTCAGATTTGAGCTATTTAAAAGAATACGTACTGGAAGAGTAGATTCATCAGGCCAGTTAAGATTGAAGTCACCAAGTAAGCTCATTTCCATTGTGTCCCCCAACGATTCAACCGTAGCTAGTCAATGTTGTATTGCTTCAAGTTTAGGGTAGGAGGGGGGGCGATAGATGTTTCCAATTATAATGTGCTTATTTCCATTAAAAGAAATTTTAGTAAAGATGGCTTCGAAGTGAAGTGGTTTGACTGTCGGAACAATAACCTGAGACTTCAGACTAGAGGAGATATAAGTGGCAACCCCGCCACCCCTCGTCCCTCTATCCATTCTATATAAAACAAAGTTGTCAAGAGAAATATCATTGTCAGAAATGTTTTCATTCAACCATGTCTCAGACAACGTAATTATTTTTGGTTCATTATAACCAAGCCATGCTTTTAATAAATCAGTTTTAGGAAATAAGCTTCTTATATTAAGATGGATTATGTGTAACCCTTTACCCATAAGAAGAAAAACGAGGTACAAAAATGACCCTCACAGCAGGCAGCCACAGAAGAAAATATAAAACAAAAATAAACAGAAAAAAGAACAAAATATAATAAAATTAGACGGAAATTAAATGAGTTATCACTCATGGTCCAAAAAGCAGTGGTCTCAGATCTGAGCCCATGGCCTGCAGCCTGCTCAAAGCACAGCCACCTAAACTAATAAAATTGCCATAACTCAACACGGTGGCTGGATTTTATCAATATAAATAAATAAGAATAAAGTAAGGATAATTTGACCTTTAGTCGAAATTTGATTTCACCGAACAAGAGAAGCAAAAACAAAAAGGAATTACCTGCTCTGCGGAAGAGTCAGAATCTAATAATAAAAGAAAGAGGAAAGTCAAGTCCGCCCTCCGCAGGTGCTCGTACACCCAAAACATCTCAGGGCATCTCAACCCAAAGCGTCCAGGTGACTTTCAGCAGCCACTGGGTCTGTAAAAAGCAGACGATCACCATCAGAGATTATCTTGATGTTTGCAGGATAAAGAAGAAAAGCTTGTAGTCCCAAGGCGCGAGCCCGGCTCAAAACCGGGAAGCAGCGGCGTCTCCGACGAACTGTTTCATCACTGAAATCTGCAGCAAATCGAACCGATTTACCAGCCACCGACACCTCAGACTTCCTTGCCAGAGCCAGGATCCGATCCCTGTCATTCGCTCGGAGAAAACAGACCACCAAGGTCCGAGGAGACCCTGACGCGCCAGGTTGTCCAACCCGCCGCGCCCGAGTTACATCAGGAGGAGATCCCGCCAGCTCTGGGAACCACACCAACAGGTTGCTCCTAAGATAGGATAGAGCATTGTTGAGCTCAATCCCCTCTTTTAAATTGAGGATCCGGATATTATTCCTTCTGCTTTGATCATCGAGGGCAGTAATCTTCCTCTGTAGTTTCTACAGGTCTGCGCTCTGAGCCACGGAAGCGTCCTCCACGCACCGCACCCTTTTTTGGAGTAAGGTGGTGACTTGTTTTTGAGTTTCAAGCTCTTGTGCGTGCTTGTCAAGTGTAGATCGAATTGAGTCAAGTTGAGAATCAAGACTATCAAACCGATCCTTGGCATGTTTTTCTGCTTTGTCAAAAAACTTTTGAAGAGTAGACTCCAGAGTCTCCTTGTTCAGGATTTCCAGTGACACGTCAGCAGCGTCGTCGTCAGAGCCCTTCGTTTGATCTTTCTGCTGGCGCTTAGGAGGCATTTTTATCAGTAATATGACTTAGTAAATCACCTTTTCTCCAGTCCTTCAAAAAAGAACTTAAATTCAAGAACCAACCGCAAAAAGGTCAAAAATCCAGGTAGTTAATTAAATAAGGCAGGAGAGACCGCAGGCACACAACCACTCACTCCGCCATCTTTTTCAGATCTGAAAGATTATATGATAACTTATAATTACAGTCACATCTATATATGCACATGTCTATAACATATATCTTATTATTAAATCAGAAATCATTTATTATAGACATGTGCATATATATATAATAATATATCTATCTTTCTTCTACAGTCTGCTCTTTAACTGTATTATTTCCTGCTATTTCAGCTGTTAACTTTATTTTCTCTCTAAGTGTTTTTCTCCCCAGAAGAAGCTACAACGATGTTCTGCTGAGCTGTGGTGGCCTCATGGAGGGGGCCATCGTCTAGCACACTGCTGCTAACCACTTAAACATTCTCCCTCTCCTGATAATAACTTTTTACTCTCTTTGACGTTGGATGTGCTACTACTAGTTTACCCGTTTAATTATAGATCCACTAGGATAAATACTATAAAGTTTATCTCTCACCAAATAGAATATTTACTAAAAAAATCACAACGTAACCATAGACACACTACTTGGTGTGTGTGTGTGTGTGTGTGTGTGTGTGTGTGTGTGTGTGTGTGTGTGTGTGTGTGTCGGATGCATCTAGAGAGACAAAAGTCTAAAGTTATCTCTGACTGAAGGTGACCTGGCTCAGCGAGTCATGTCTGGTGTGAGAAGGACCTGTGCAGGTAGATGATGAGGAGACTCGCTGCTCGTGAGCAGAGGAACAGCTGATGAGGCTGGTTACTAGTGTGTTAACACAACAAAAGCAGGAGGACCATGGGGCTGGAGGCCTACGCAGGTTGGTGAAAGACTCACTCACCATTCACAAGCTCGCTCATCGATCCCTGGTGCCAGGAGCTCCTGACCAGTTATTCAAGTCCGTTTCCAGGTCAACTCCTCGAGGCCCCAGCTTCTCCACTTCTCTTCTTCTTCCCGTTCCAGTCACTCATCACTCCGTCACTAGCCGTTGCTACTCAGCGGCTAGCTCCCTCCGTCCCTCCTCCCACTCAGCTCCCACTTCCTGCTCCTCTCTGCCGACCCAGCCTCACAACCCCGAAGGTATGGCAAGCTGTTCGGGTCACTAATCGCCCACATTTGAACACGTTAGAATATTTGAGGCCGAAAAAAAGCGGCGGAAATCCCTTCAGAACGCCGTATTGCTCGTCGTCTTCATGTAGTCGTTCAGAGCGCCGCATAAAACGGCGTTTTTTTTCTAGTCCTTGAAAGTTACAGTTACAAATTTTTCAGCTACACAGACATGGTTTCATTATCAGTTTATCAATGTTGATTCAACAACTAGTTAGCATCAATATTACAATATCAACCAAACTGATGATTCAGATGGAAAGTCAATGTTGTTTCAATGTAAGCTTGTTATCTGGGATGTTATTTAAAAAATACAGACCACAGGGAATCCGGCTCAAGGGCTCTCAGTCCTGTTTTGAATTGTCCTTATATGTTACTACATTTATGAGCTGTCTTTAGTGAGCACAAAGATAATTTTGTTGTACACCTGTGCAATGAAACAATGTTGTATCTTGAATTTCTGAAAATATCATATATGTAAATAACAGGTTCATTCCATTAGGTATTTTATTCGTTTTTTATTTACTTTTACATATAATCCGAAAATTTAAATATGATGAAAGTCATTTTACATTCCCTGCACCCCTGCCTGCGTCCAACGACGAGACACACGACTTGGGTCCTGCCAACACGGGGTCAGCGGTCATCCATGCTACTGTTCGACTTGTATCTGTAAGTCTTCACCTGCTTGTTAAGCTAATGTAATGGTCACATTGTCAGTATGCATGCTAAGCCGCGCTGCATTTATTTACCTATTTTATCGCATTGCTTAGCTTTGGTCTTCAGCCCATGCTGCTGCTTCACGCTGCCGTTAGCTTCTGCTCTCAGCTTTGTATGTCGTCGCAGCGCTCCTTCATCCTTGTCAATAAAGCCATTAGACATCGAGGAGTGTATTTCTTCACCTTTATTATCTACTTTTATTGTCTACCTTTTAACTGTTACCTTTTAAGCTACGGTCTACAACCTGACAGATAATTGCTCATCTGCCTGCTCAGTCCCTGCTCTGGTTCCACGTCACCACCTCTCTACTTCGGGATGTGGGCCTGCGAAATTTCTGTGTTGGTCGCACTAACCTGGGCTGTTTTTTCCACTCGTTGATCCAACCGTGGATGGGCTCCTCCAGTATTCTTGGCAGAGCTCTTCAATCTCTACTTCCACCAGTCCGGATCTCAACCTCCAGCTCTTATTATTATTTTTAAAGAACACTGTCATCAGCTGTGTCAAAAGAAGCACTGAGATCTAACAAGACTAGAACAGACACAAGACTCTTATCTGAGGCCATAAGAATATTATTTCATTCATTCATTTTTCATTCATTCATTTATTTCCGTCATAACAAATACATATAAAACACATGAAAAGGAAAATAATTATCTAATAAAGAACATAATAATAATGATCACAGGTACAAATTCCTCTTATAAATTAAACAGTTTCTTTAGATATAATTTATGAGCGAAAAGGTATAGGCTGAAGTTAAACTTATTTAAGCCTACCCATTAATTCATTACAAAAAAAAAAACAACAACATTGTCATAAATATCAAAAGTAAATAAACATATAAACAATACAATTATTACATACATCATCCTAATTTCAACAAAATCAATCAAGAGATATAACATGAATAAAACAAAAACAATTGAAATCAATCAAGAGGTATAAAACGTGTGACAAAACCAATTTTGGTGCACTTGGTGATTACGTAAGGCATTGTTTTTAAAACTCTTTTTGAATGTTTTCAACGAGCATGAATTTTTTAATCTATCCTCGAGGCTATTCCATAAAATCACTCCTCTTACTGAGATACATCTTTGTTTTTTATTGGTTCTAATATTCTTTTTTTTTTGAAAATCCCAGTTCCTCTTAGACTATATCCTCCTTCCCTTAGTTCAAACATCCTTTGGAGATAAGGTGGAAGTTGAGCCTGATATGCTACAGCCAGTGTATGCAGGTCAATAATATCGTAAAATTTTAGAACTTTTAAATGGATAAAGATAGGATTAGTTGGAGCAAAATAGTTAGCATGGGAAATTATTCGAACTACCTTTTTTTGAAGTAAATATATAGGATAAATATTTGCTCTGTAATTAATTCCCCATATTTCAACACCATAGCTCAGATATGGTAAAATAAATGAGTTATAGAGTATCTGAAGGGATTTAATATTTAAAACAAATCTCATTCTACTCATAAGTCCTATATTTTTTGATATTTTTAACTTTATATCATCTATATGAGGCTTCCAACTCAGTTTTTCATCTATAGTAATTCCTAAAAATTTATATGCGTGTACTTGTTCAATTACAATACCATTTATTTTTATAATAATTTCATTAGTGATTTTCCTGTTTCCAAATACAATGAAGTTTGTTTTGGTCACATTCATAGAAAGTTTATTCCTATCAAACCATCCTTTTAACACTGCCAGTTCTTTTTCAACTAAATCAACAAGCTTGTTTAGGTCGTCACCAGAACAATAAAGGCTGGTGTCATCTGCATACAACAAACAATTTACTTTATCTAGAACCGCACACACATCATTAATATACATTATGAATAATTTAGGTCCCAAAATAGACCCTTGTGGGACTCCATGAGTAATGAACTCCTTTCTTGAATCAACATTATTGATATGCACAAACTGGTCTCTTTCACTAAGGTAGCTTGCCACCCAAGCATAAGCTGTACCACGAATACCATATCTTTGTAGCTTCTGAAGAAGAAGTGTATGATCTATGACATCAAAGGCCTTACTTAGGTCATTGAAGACACCCAAGGTATATTTATTTTCTTCTACTGCAGTTGTGATATCTTCAGTTAAGGCCATTACTGCCATCAAAGTGGATCTGTTTGATCGAAAACCAAACTGTTATTCATTTAGCAAATTGCATTTTTTAACAAAATCATCAAGTCTAGTGACAAACAATTTTTCTAAAATTTTAGAAAATTGTGAGAGAAGCGAAATCGGTCTATAATTTTTGAATAAGTGTTTACTTCCATTTTTATAAATAGGGATTACTTTTGCTGTTTTCATTTTACTTGGAAAAACACCAGTACAGAATGACAGATTGCAGATATATGTAAGGGGTGTGACAATGTGATTGATAATGTCCTTTAATAACCTCATATCTAAATTACTGCAATCAGTTGAACTTTTGTTTTCAAATTTATTGACAATATTTATTATTTCAATGTCTTCTACACCCCTTAAAAATAGAGAACTGGGGTTACAATTAGATATGGACTCGGTAATATTTTTTTCATTTTTACTTATAGGTGCTTTGATAGCACCAGCTAATAATTCCATTCCATTCCATTCCATTTATTTGATAAAGCACATTTAAAAACAGCATGTGAGCTGACCAAAGTGCTGTACAGGGGTAAAAACATATAAGGTTAAAAGAATAATATAAAAGAATAAAACAACTAGAGCAGAACAAAAAGAACCATGAGAAGTCAATAAAATCAGTCAAAGAACAGTGTAAATAAACCATCGATAAAATAGCTAGGTAGTAAAAGCAAGAGAATAAAAATAAGTCTTTAAGTGGGACTTAAAAACCCCAATGGAGGAGGAGATTCTGATATTCAGTGGGAGATCATTCCAAAGTTTTGGAGCGCAGACAGAAAAAGCTCGTTCACCACGGGTTTTGCAGCGTTGACGGGGAATCTGTAGGAGGTGTAGGTCACCTGAACGGAGAGTCCTGCCTGGCACATAAGGAGTGAGTAACTCGGATAATGGTCCAACCTCAACAAAATAACGATTGAAAGCATTGGCAATTTCCTTGATATCAGTGATTTCATGATCTTCTTTAATGAAATAGCTTGGGAGTGCGTTAACTTTTTTTCCATTCCTAATTATACCATTGAATGTTTTCCAGATTCCTCGTGTATTATTCTTGTGTTGTTCTAATAATTTATGATAGTAATTTTTTTTATTCATGCGTATTATATTTATTAATTTATTTTTATATGTCTTATATCTTTCTTCAGCACTTTTAGTTCTTTGTTTTAAATATATTCTGTAAAGATGATTTTTCTTCTTACAAGCCTTAACTATGCCATATGTTATCCAGGGCTTTTTTATTTTAATTTTATTTTCAGTAATATATGGCTTCAATGGGCAGTGTTTATCATAGAGTTTGGTTACTTTGGATAAGAAGGCATCATATGCTAGGTTGGGGTCCTCAGTACAAAAAACTTCATCCCACGTCTGAGCAGAAAGATCTGCCTTGTGTATCATTTGTAACTCTCACTAATGCAGTTTCAGTGCTGTGATACTCTCTAAAACCAGACTGAAACTCCTCAAACAGAGCATTAGTGTTTAAATGCTCACATACTTGGATGGCCACTATTTTCTCCAGGACTTTGGATAAAAATGGAAGGTTAGATATTGGTCTATAATTCATTGGGTCATCTGGATCCAGAGAAGGCTTCTTAAGTGAAGGTTTGATTACAGCAACCTTAAAATCCTGTGGTACATACCCATTTACTAAGGATAGATTGATTATATCTAGAATGGGGGCAGTAACCAAAGGAAATGCATCTTTAAATAATTTGGTTGGGATTGGATCTAAAATACAAGTGGAAGGTTTAGATGAAGCTAATATTTTTGATAACTCTGAAAGCTCAACTGGATCAAAACGGTTCAAACACAGATGAGGTTCTACAGTCACCTCTGATAGTGCCTCACTTACTGAGGAAGAAGAAATCTCATTAGGGAGGATGCTAAAGATTTTGTTTCTAATAGAATTAATTTTACTTGTAAAAAATCCCATGAAGTCATTGCTGCTGAGGGCTAAGGGAATAGATGGTTCAGACCTATGAATCTGTGTAAGTTTGGCAACTGTACTGAAATCTTGGATTATTCTTATTCTCCTCAATTAGCGATGAAAAATATGCAGCTCTAGTTTGTTGAGGCTTATTTTTATAAAGCACAAGACTATTTTATCCAGGATAAGTCAGACTCCTCCTGGTGTGTGGAGCATCACGTTCTCTCCAATTTTCTAGAGTTTTGTTTTAAAGGGATAGTTCGCTTTTTGAGATATGAAGTTGTATGCGTTCCTTATCCCACCCAGTGCTCTGTAAACAATGACCCATTTCACACACACCCCTGCTCAGAGATTTTCAGGGGGAAAGGGATTCAGGAAACAACTTCTGGCTAGTTTTGGGGGTACTGCATCTCCACCGTTTAGCGTCACAAAAGGATTTTCCTCTGAAAGCATGACTAATGTACATCTCAGAAACACAGCCAGGTAAATTGACAACTTCACATTACAACAGCTACTTTTTATCATCAAAAGAATATAAAAAAGAATTTAGAAAAGTTAAAAATATATAAAAGAGGCTTTAGTCACTTAAAAGGAGTTGTTCTTAAATATATAGAGCCATGGTGCGTACTTGCAGTTTCCCGGTTGTAACAATAAGGATGTTACAGGATCACCTTTTAGGTTCCACACTTTCCCTGTGAAGGCCGCTTCTCTAGCATCACTTTTGGCAATCGGCTACGCCATGGATACTCGGCTGGAATGAGTCAAAACATTCTGTTTGTGCAGTGCACACTTCAAAGAGGACGATTACATCAAGAAAACATTCGGGAACAATGAGAGACTATTTTTGAAGAGTTTGGCCGTACCAGAAATCTGGGTAAGTTTTGTATTTTTTTATTAATTTATTCCGGCTATGTCCGCCGTATTCATGCAATCATCTTCACACCAATGATGGTTGATCGTAGACTGCAGTAGCTTTGTCAACAATCTGTGTTGATGTGTGAGTTTTGTGTCGCAAATGCACGTAACGTAGCACAGGGGATCATCAAGTACTGTTATACCTGTTGAAGCGTTGCTAAACTGAAAAATGAATCGTATTACAGTTGTGCAAAGTTGCAGTGACAGTGGCTTTCAACTTCGACTGGGCGGGGGCTGGAACATCACATGGTAACTCTCCCGGTTCATGACAGAGAACTGTTTCTCTACGACAAAAATCATCAGCTAGCTATTAAAATTTGGCTTGTTGTTGTACAGGGAAACATTTATCTAACCGTGCATAGGACAATAAAAAGTTTCAGGCTAATCAAACCTATTTGATCTGATGTTCAACAAGGTATGCAGTAGTACACCTTCTGCTACTAATGGAACCGAACCCACAGAGGCCTGCAGTTACACCCAGCATATGCAGAACTTGAAGGACTCCCAGAGTCGACACCTCGAAAGTCTTCAGCTAAAGTACAGCACATGGAGCTGATTCGGAAAAGTCCTGCTGACACCTTCAGAGGAACACGGACATTTGGGTTTTTCAGAACCTTTTTGTAGGATTTGAATCACTTTGATCCAAAAAAATCAGGATTAAACTGATCCCATCAGAAGGGTGGATTCAGCATGAATTTCATGCCCAAAATGTAATGAAAACTTTAAAAATGTATCAAATAATACTATATATGGATCTTGCAGTATTTTACAAGATATCCTATATATTCACAAGGTTTTAGTTTTATTTGTTCTTCCATCAAGCTACAGTGATTAAGTAGGCTTTAACGTATTCAGCCTTTCAGTACAGGCCTACTGATCCAGAGAGCGTATTTATATTGAATCTCAGCTCTGTTCATGAGGAAGCAGCTGGTTTCTCATTGGTTGAGCCAGTGGTAGTTGCCACAGGATCTCAGAGGAAAGGCTTGAAGCGCCCTTCATCAAACAAAGATGATGGTTACAAGGCACTTGAGCAAAAAGAGACTGACAGGGCAGAAGCACAGCTTCGTCTGGCAGAGGAACAACAGACTCTGATTAAACTGCAGCAAATCAAGGCCAGACTTGAGATCCGCCTCCTAAAGGCTACGCTCAGACAAGCTGGTCTCTCCACATCAGATGAGGAAGTCTGAAATTATTGTGGAGTTGCAAAATTGTTACACCAGCTTCCAGCACTCACCTGGAAGGTATCTCAGAACAGCGGTTTGGTTTTTGGGGTGAAACTATGTGCTCCAAATACCACAGAAGTCAACTCTACTGGCAGTTTGTATCAACTTCTCCGACCGCTGGATCACCGGCAGCCTTCACCACAAGGACTCGTAGATTCTGCACAACTGGCGTGGGATGGTGTTTTAATAGAGATTGTTAAACCATACATTCAGACGTATTTTACAACCCAGACATCACAATTTTCTAAGACACTTGGTTTTGCTACATAACATCTAAGTACACATTCCATCATTTCATTCATTGTCCCAGTTATCTTGTTTCAACCATAATTTATCATCATTTGTTCCGTGTCATCATTAGTAAATGGTAAATGGCCTGTATTTGATATAGCGCCTTCTAGAGTCCTAGAAACCCCCCAAGGCGCTTTACAACACAATCAGTCATTCACCCATTCACACACACATTCACAAGCTGGCGGGGATGAGCTACGGTGTAGCCACAGCTGCCCTGGGGCACACTGACAGAGGCGAGGCTGCCGAGCACTGGCGCCACCGGTCCCTCCGACCACCACCAGCAGGCAAGGTGAGTTAAGTGTCTTGCACAAGGACACAACGACAGTGACAGACTGAGCAGGGGCTTGAACCTGCAACCTTTTGATTACGGAGCGAGCACTTTACTCCTGTGCCACCGTCGCCCACACAGTAGTAGAAATGTTGTATTAAATTTGTTTTTAGAAACTATTTTTCGCTCAGTCTCAAAATATTACGAAGGTGTGATTTTCCCTGAACTACTAAAATGACCTGGTTTTATTTTGGATAAAATTTCAAAAGATCAATAATATTGATATTTCATATTTAAATGGAATATCACATCTTATTGATCATTTATTTAAAGTAACCACTTACATCAAGTTACACAACCAAAAGGCTTCTGTCCAGGGTGGACACTCGTGTGATTGTTTAAACTTATCTTTTTACTAAATCCCTGTCCACAGAGCTCACATATAAAAGGCTTCTGTCCTGTGTGGACTCTCGTGTGTCTGTTTAAATCGGTCTTTCGATTAAATCCTTTTCCACACAGCTCACAGGCAAAAGGCTTCTGTCCTGTGTGGACACTCATATGACTGTTTAAACTTGCCTTATAACGAAATCTTTGACCACAGAGCTCACAGGCAAAAGGTTTCTGTCCTGTGTGGATTCTCATGTGACTGTTTAAAGTTGTCTTTTGGTTAAATCTTTGTCCACAGAGCTCACAGGCAAAAGGTTTCAGTCCTGTGTGGATTGTCATGTGAATGTTTAAATTATTCTTATGACTAAATCTTTGGCCACACAGCTCACAGACAAAAGGCTTCTGTCCTGTGTGGACTCTCATATGATGACTGTTTAAACTTGCCTTATAACAAAATCTTTGACCACAGAGCTCACAGGCAAAAGGTTTCTCTCCTGTGTGGATTCTAATGTGATCTTTTAAACTTGTCTTACGACTAAATTTTTGTCCACACAGGTCACAGGCAAAAGGTTTCTCTCCTGTGTGGGTTCTAATGTGATCTTTTATATGTGTCTTATGACTAAATTTTTGTCCACACAGCCCACAGGCAAATGGCTTCTGTCCTGTGTGAACACTCATGTGACCTTTTAAACTTGTCTCATGTCTAAATCTTTTTCCACAGAGCTCACAGACAAAAGGCTTTTGTCCTGTGTGGATTCTTATGTGTCTGTTTAAATTTGTTCGTCGGTTAAATCTTTGTCCACACAGCTCACAGGCAAAAGGCTTCTGTCCTGTGTGGACTCTCATGTGACTGTTTAAACTTGATTTAACCATAAATTCTTTTCCACAGTGATCACAGGCAAAAGGCTTCTGTCCTGTGTGGACTCTCATGTGACTGTTTAATTTTGATTTAACCATAAATTCTTTTCCACAGTGATCACAACTAAACGTTTTAGTCTTTTTCTGGACTTCCCTACACGAGTCTGCATGTTGCTTCACTATAACACATTCCTTACTAACACAACAGCCTGAAGACCTTGTTGCTAAATGACTTGTCATTTCTGCTGTCACATGGTCAGCTGAGCTGCTCGCTGGAACATCTCGGTCTTCTGTTTGCTGCTGATGAAGCTGTGAGACGAGAGGTTTTTCTTCATCATCCTCACTCTTTATAGAACCAGCAGTGAATAGAAATCTGGCAGCATCAGTCTCCTTCAAATGTAGCTGCTCTCTCTCCAGACTGGTCCAGAGGTCGTCCTGTTCCTCCTTTATGTGAAGGTGTTCTGGTTCCTGCTGGTCCTCACCAGCACTCTGTTCTTCATGAGCTTCTTCTTTAACCAGCGCCATTATTTTAACACCTGTAGGAAAAACAGAAACACAGTGAATTACTGAATGCTGTAACTTTCTATTCACACATTTAACAGTAATATTATTGCTTTAAAGAGCAATTAACACCCAAACCAACTATTCTTTTGGCTGATAAACTGTATAAATGAGTATCTAATAGTGTTGTAGACATTCAAGTTTTTTCATTTCAATTCAATTCAAGTTTATTTATAAAGCGCAAAATCAGGACCAGAGTCGTCTCAAGGACCTTCACACAGTAAACATTCCAATACAGGTCAGGTCATTAAGCCGATCAGTAACAAGTTTCTTATATAAGGAACCCAGCAGGTCACATCGAGTCACTGACTAGTGTCAGAGTCTTTACAGCGGTCCTCATACTAAGCAAGCATGCAGCGACAGTGGGGAAGAAAACTCCCTTTTAACAGGAAGAAACCTCCAGAGGATCCTGGCTCAGTTTAAGCATCCATCCTCCACGACTCATTGGGGATGGAGAAGACAGAACACACACACACACACACACACACACACACACACACACACACACACACACACACACACACACACACACACACACACACACACACACACACACACACACACACACACACACACACCTGGGGTGGGGGAACCCTGGTCCGTCAAGAGCCGCTATCCAGCATATTTTAGTTTCAACCTAAGCCTGTAGCCTCCAGGAATGGTCAGTTGTTCCACCTACAGAGTGACGTCTTCAGTATCTGGCCATTTGGAGACATAAGTCTTAACAGATGCTTTCAATCTGCCAGAAAGATACTGTTGCTTGGCCAAGGTCCCTCGCAAGCTCACTCTTATCTAAGACTGGTTTTTATTCACAGAACAAGACGGAAAAACAATACGAGGAACTAATCATATAATGAAATGGACAATGTGGTTAAATGAAATGTTTTGATTAATCTGTGCTTAAACTACTGAAGTTGAAATGAATATTATTATTATTAATACTACAGTGAAAGATTAACAAGGATGAAATGAAATATGACCATATATTTAATCAGCACACTGACTGGACAAGACACACTCACCATTTCTCAATGACGCAAGTTATAATTAATGTCACTGCACATAGATATTTTCTTATCCAGATGCAAAATCAGCATCTTCATATCTGAGGGAGGTGTCTATCGGAGTTTGTTGGCAAAACCCCTTTACAGGTGTAATGTCCAGAAATTGTCAGTGTTCACCTACAGATTGACCTACATGCCATCAGTCAGCTACAGACATGAATCTGCCTCTGTGCGTCTCTTAATCTTCCAAGTTGCAGGAAAAGATTCGACACTGCGTGTTTACACTCAGATTGTCAACATTATAGAGCTGAAACGATTCCTCGAGTACCTCGAATAATTCGAGTACAAAAAATCCTCGAGTCAAATTCTCTGCCTCGAGGATTCGTTTAATTCATATTTAATTAATTCATGGCTTTGCAATCGCCCGGGGTCATGTTTCACCCGGACCGAAATAAGTGACGCACATGCCCACTGGACTGCGAGTAGCGAATATAACTTAACTTTCTCTTAAGCCATGGCGGACAACGTGGACCCCGGTGGAGTGCGAAAAAGACAGAAAATGTCAAAGTTGTGGGACCATTTTTCACGTCGTAAGGCAGAAAACGTAGTCCAGTATAAATACAGTAAAATGGATTTAGCCTACCACAACACCACATCCTCCGTGCTGCAGCACCTGTAAATGTCACTTCTGCAAGCGGACTCGGAGCCTCTACAAGATAATGCATTTTAGCCTGTATTTCTATATATTCTGCAGACACTGCGACTTTTTCGTTTGTAGCACTCAGTTCCAGCTCACACCGTACGTCTGCTAGCAACACGTCGGACTTAAAATGTGCTAAAAATAGCAGTTTTTACACAACACGTCGGACTTTTTATTGTGTTATTGATGTCTGTTGTCCCTCGGAGTTTCTGCAGGAGGACACGGGTCTTTATGAGTGGCGGAGGAAAACGAAAGAAAGTAAATAAATGTTTTGTGATCAGTATAATTTGACAAAACCACAGCAAACATGCTTTTGGCAATCCTTGTTAGTGTGAGAAAAAAAAGTGTGGAAATTAAAACGGACGTGTGTTAATAGCGAAACAGGGGCGAGCTGTTTGCGCCGTGAGCGGTTCTGGTTCTGTTTGGGCCGCAGCCGCTCGCAGTGTTATTCTCCTAGTTTTTGTCTGGCTTGCATGCTAGCAGATTCTCGCACGAGGGGAAAATCGGCTCAGGTTGTTTACTTATTTTTTGCACAGGCATTTGTTTACTGTGAAGTAAAGTTGAAGTGCTGAAGTTATGCAAACTAATTTTGAATAAAACTTGAAGAATAACTGGCAATTGCTTGCTCATTTTAAGAGGTCTTTCATAATTATAACATGCTATTTGATATCAAATCAAATCACTTTTATTGTCACGTCACATGTGCAGGTACACTGGTACAGTACATGCGAGTGAAATTCTTGTGTGCGAGCTTCACAGCAACAGTTGTGCAAAAATACAGTAATGTAAAAACAAGTAAAATATAAAAATGGCTAATCTAAGTATACAAATGAATAAAGTAAACAATAAGATAAGAGATATAAAATGTACAGAGGTTGGTATGTGCAAAACAGTGGCATTAATGTACAGTATGGAGCGTGTAATGTTGGAACTTGGTGGAGCTCGCGACGAGGCAGCCATACTCGGCGCCATCTTGGCTCATCAATATATGATATAAAGGTTTACAAACACAAAAGGGTAATTTATTAGAGTACTCGATTAATCGAAAAAAGATTCGATAGAGTACTCGATTACAAAAATATTCGATAGCTGCAGCCCTACAACATTATGTTCCTTTCTCAAGGCTCTTCTCTGCCAAGCCTGTGTGCTTATCTAGGCTGTCCTGCATGGAATAAAGGACTGAACTGTTATAATAGGGAATGAACAATATGGTTGAATGAACAAATGTTATATGAATAATAATAATGTCTTGATTAATCTGTGCTTAAATTAATAAATTTGATTAATCTGTGCTTAAATTAATAAATTTGATTAATCTGTGCTTGAATCACTGAAGTTTGAAATGAATGTTATTATTACATTGAAAGATTTATATATGATGGTCAGTAATGTTTGATATGACAAGGTAATCAACATCTACACTCAGACACAAGGTTCATTAGAGATAAATTAAAGTTAAGTTAAACGTCATGACACATAGAAATTTTCTTACCCACAAATCAGAGCATCCTGTATCTGAAAGAAGGCGTGACGTTCTGAGGTTTGCTTGTTAACACCCCTTAACACGGCATGTCCCGGTTGGCCAAGAAATCATTATGTGAGAATATTAAAACAGAGCTCACTTCACGGTGAGTCAGTTCTAGAGAAAGGAGAAAGCTACGGACAGGTCATCCGGAGCGAACCCTCTTTAACCCAGAGCATTTTTGACAGGCGGTCAAAAACCCTGCTACAAGCTACAGCTGACACAGCAAAACGGTTCCTTCAGCTATTCAGAAACAGCTGTTCTAGACGCAAACGATTGCATATATCTGTTGTGATCCGGGAGACAACTCTGGACCGACCTGGTCATACTGCGGTCTTTTCTATGAACTTCGGTACTTTGGGGTCACTCGACCCCCCCGACATCTCGGATTCGAAAGGGTGTCTCCTCAGGGGTACGTAGAACACAGCCAGATTGCGTCTGATGCAGTGTTGTTAAGAACCAACTTCATAGCTTAATGCAAACCAAATTCTTTTCACCCAGAACTCAGTACTTCTAGATACAAGGTTCTGATGAACACACACACCATTCAATTACCATACATATCACCTTCCATCCATTTAGATTCATCCATCACAGTCGTCCTATTTAACTTGTCTTGTTTTTTAATTGTTTAGAAAATAAGTTCTTACTTTTATAAACCTCACTCTGAATTGTCACGAAATGTGTTTGATCCCTGAAAAAGCAAAGAATCCTAGAATCTTCTGATTAAACATTCAAAGACCAAGCAGGTTAATATTCTATATTTATATAGAGTATCACATCTTATTGGTCATAAGTAAAGGTAATATATTAAGCTTAAAAGCAACAATATTTACCCCCTACACAGGGGCAAGTTCTGATTTATCAGTAAACCAAGATATGGCCATTATTTAAACAGCATCACTTCCTGAGTGATTTCAGTTGAGCTAACTCTGACTGGCCATCGGAGGGAAACTCTGCTCCCGTCGCATCTTTTGACAAGCTGTCAAAACCTGTTGCACGCTACAGCTGATACCGCAAACTGTTCCTTCAGAACAAAGCTGAACCAACTTCGACTCCTTAAGGGTTATTCCTAAG